GTGGCACCCGCCTAGTTAATTTTGTCTCAAAGAGTCAACAAGGCTGGTCGGATACACGCCACAGACATACACACGCAAGAACGCATACACGTACACACAAACAAACATACACGGACAAGCATGCACATACAAATATGAACACACACAGATGTAACCATACACAAACATATATACACCACACTTATGTGCACGCATACATGCACAAATATGCACACTTACAATTACGCGTATAGAAAAGCGCATACATAAATACACCACCCAAACGAAAACATACGCGTACAAACACACATACAGACACACACGTACAGACATACACACGCATATAGAAATACGTACACGTGCGTCAGATATGATCTCGTGACAACACAGCTTCATGCAAAACGCATGAATTCAGCTGCACGGACATTTTTGCTGCTGCAGCTTTAAAATCACGAAATCATGAATTAGGATGTTTTATAGAAAGCCGGTGGGAAGAAAAGATTTAAATGGAAATGTTTAGGATACTAAGCAATACGAGTCGTTATATGCATTAGCAGTTTTGAGCGTGGATCCGTGGAGTGCAGCAGCAGACGCAGGCCTGGAGCCCGGTCAACGCATCATCGAACTCAATGGACAGTGTGTCACCGGGCTTACCTACGACGATATCTGCAGCATAACTCAAAGGTGCACAAGTATTTTCTAATAAACTGTGACAGCTCAGTTAAAAGATAGCGCACACACACTGAACAATTACTTGGTACTAGCTGAAGTCCAGAAGCGAAAGGCTTGGCATTATTGTAAACAGTGTTTGGCAGCATCGGAATGGTATCATTAGCATTGAAATTTCAGCGCATACATTTATTTCACAAATGGCATACAAATAATGTACGAAATACAAATGCTGTGCAGTTTTGGCGTACTTTGTCCACATGTCGTACAATTGACACATCAATATATGTTATGTCAGTTCACAACTGACGAGTACCTTTTTATGCGTTCTTGCTTATATGCAAATGTAACAAAGGCTGGAACGCACCAGGCGAGCCGGTGCGATCATGCGTTTTTGCATCAAAACTAAA